ACTAGTTAGAAATAAAAACCCAACTTCAAAATAACGTGGTCGGACACAAGCTTATGTCTGTACAAATCATCAAGCTATAAAAGGTGTTAGACAAATAGCACTTAGCACAGAGCTCGGTTTGATCGCACATCAAAGCCAAACTATCAGGGAGCAGCTCATCTCAAGATTTCCAAAAAACACCTCTAGGCTAAGAGAGTTAGGGCGTTGGATGCTCCAATTCAACGTGAAAAAGCTTCATTATAGGTGAATGGGGGTTTCGAGCACTGGCGGACACACAGTGGAGCATGGGGGGTCACGTGACCCCCCCTCCCAACTTTTGGACACCTTTTTTTCTTTTGACAAAATCATAACATATGTGAGTGTTTTCTCTCACTCTCTTGCTCGACTCTCTCCATCATCCATTTTACCAAAACTCCAACTAATTCTTCAAAATTTGTCTATAACTTTTTGAAAAATTAACACATATACCACAAATCTTCACTTCCCAATTAAATTTTAAACTAATTAAAACTTAAATTAGTATATTGAATTGTGTCAAATTAATTTGGGATGTGTTTGGAATGATTTATGTTATATGGAATGATTTTTGAATTGTGCATATAGAACGAGTTTGGAATGATTCTGTCTAATTTGGCTTACATTTATTGAATTGTGTTTATTTGTATTGATTATTAGTATTGAATAGAGGTTGTATGTTTTTTATTCCGATTACTTGAATTGATTGTTTGTATCAGTTATGGACAAATTCTTTAAACGTAAATCTCCATTTTCTTGTTTGAATTGATTCTTCGTATCAATTATGGAACTTTATCAAAGTATGAAAATGCGTAGAGAACAATTGCAATGAGTTGCTTTTATATTTTTTTACAAATTTTTTGCAAGTTTTATTGTACCCCCTTATTTCGAATGACTGCGTCTACCACTGGTTTTGAGATTTTCCCTACTCTAGGCCAGACAAATGTAAGATGGTCATTTTGACGGTGCTTAATCTTCACAATCCTTGCCCAAAGGGATTCTTGCTCTCTAAACTTCCACCTCAACATGTAATCAAATGTTGTACTCACACTAGCCATGTATTCGAGTCCGAATCCTCCTTCATAATGGAAGCATAGTTTACTTCATTTGGCTCCATGTGTATGTTTTCTTGTAGATGATCCCTCCGAATGAAGATAGTTGTGAGCCTTTCCAATTTCCTTGTAATGCAGCTAGATGGTTTTGACAATTTATTAATGGTGGAGAGACATGGATGTTGCAACACATTTAACAAGTGTGATCCTACCTTAACTAAGAGGAATTTATTTTTCTCAATCAAATAATTAGTCCCTGACTTTCTGCAATCGATGATAAGTGCATTTTGTACACTTATTCTGACCGTATTATTAATCTTTTATATTATCAAAGTGTTCATTTCTACTTAACTTAAGTTGATTTTCTTTTGTTTCAATGTTCAACCTATTTCTAAGAAATTAAAAAAGAATGGAATGAGAAATGGAGGAAATTTCAAGTTTGGGGAACAAAGTGTAAATATTCAATAATCGATTCAAGCCACAAAATGATGATTGAAGATCAAATATGATCAATTGGATGGAATTGAAAGTTAAAGGAGCGAATTATAGTTAAAGTATTTTCTCAAATCAATTTCTAACCGCACAAGTTATGCCCCATATTTTCTACCTCGGGTTGAAAACCATTTTAGGCATAGCAAACATTCAAATTGGAAAATTGATATTTCGAGAAGAATTGTAACTTTGAGTTAGCTATTCAACACACTTTGAATCACCTCAATCCAATATCAAGACAAAATTATGAAAAAAATACTAACGTTCGTTTGAATTGGGCGATCACCCCGACCGTCAATTTCAATAGCAAAACCCAATTTTTTTGCTTGGGTGATTGCTCGAGTTTGACTTGGATGACTGCCGAGGCCATTAGCAGTCTAGGTTGGTGTTTTTGTTTTGAATTCCACTCCAACAAGGACTCCTCTTCTTGGGCTATATTTTGGACTTTTTGGAGACTTTTGATAGGGATATAAATACATATTATCAACTCTAAATTTTAATGTATCTTTTAAAAGCCAAATTCCACTCCAACTCATCAACGGACTTCAAGAAGGCATAGATACCTGTTTCGCGGGGGTAGTCGCTAACAATTAAAAAGAATTCAAACGATTGTGTAAAAGGCAAATCTCTTGAGACAAAATCCCAAAAAGGGGTGCTTTATTGATGAACGTTACAATTGGAAATAAAACAGAATGCCTCCAAGGGGCGCAAGCATACGAGTATTGAAAAAGGGGATAATTAAAGTTAATCTAAAAAATTGAAATTACATATTTTCTGTTTGAGAGTGTTTGATTCAGGGTCTTTTCTCTATGTCTTCTCTTCCTTTTTATATTCCCATGATGATTTCTTCGTGACAAACCGTTTGGAAACTGCTTGATTACTTTATAACTACTCACTTTCTTCATGGTGGCTAAATTGTTGTGGAACGCCATCTCTAACTTCTGCCATTACTCTTTGTCATTCAACTTCCTTTAAATGGGCTCCTTGAATTGTGGAATGTGATAAGTCTGTTCGATAACTGCTTCAACAACCGTTATTCTAGATAACCATAATATCTCACGTGTTAAGATTTTGGGTGACCCGAAAGTTTGGGCGAGAACGAGGTCATCACTCTGGGCGACCGTAAGGCACTCCATTCGCTCAGATTCTGGACGTCTTGCAAGCTTGGGCGATGATGTTACCGTGTTCGTGGACTTCCTCTACATTTACCGATAATTTTATTTGGGTCTTTATCCTGGACTCCCCAATTGGACTTCACTCTTTGGGATATTTAATTTGGATTACACTTTTAGTGTGTCAACAATTACCTCCCAATATGGCAGATTTAATACCAAGTATTAATCTATGCCATATTCACCTTGTATTTTCCAGACAACATTTGAAATTCTCGAGAATTTCAATCATTATTTCCCTCTACAGCCTAAAAAGGTACAACGTTACAAATCAGTTTCGAAGATTTTCGAAAAATTCTTACTAGGCCGTATGTAAATCGAAACTTCCTTGCACAAGCATTGAGCTGGCCTCAATGAATTCTATTTGGGTCCATCATTCAATAATGCCGAAGCCGTTGAACAAGTGGCGGTGGGCCAGCTATCCCCTTGCACTGAAGACCCTCAATTTCTGAACTCCCTACCATTGAAGCTAATCCGCGATAAAGGTATCCGTACTTGGCCAAAAACTGATCTTAATTTTCGTAGATGGCATGCACGTATGGTAAATCACGGTCCCACCAAAGCAATTTTTGATCGTGCCAAGATTTTGAACCTATTAGAAATTACCCTTTTTCCCCCAACTTATGACCCAGTGATTTTCCCAATCGCCTTGAGTTTCTGGTCATCTGAGTATAACACTTTCATTTTTCCTCTTGGCCAAATGTCCATTACTCTAAGGGATATTGGAGCCCTAGTAAATCTTCCGCCCTTGGGTGATACTATTTTTCCTGATATTTTGATTTCCAGCATTGCTCCATAATTTGACAAGAAAGTTGCCGAATCTTATTCAAGCAAATGTTGGAGCCCTAGTGAATCTTCCGCCCTCGGGCGATATTATCTTTCCTGGTATTTTGATTTCCAGTATTGCCCCACAATTTGACAAGAAAATTGCTAAATCTTATTCAAGCATGCAAGGCCTTTATACTACTTCCAATTCTGAGCCTACTTATGCTGAGCGTGTTGCCTTCCTTCAGATCTGGCTCTGTAAATATGTTCTTTGTGTCCCCAGTCTGAAACCCTCATTGAGTTATCTGTCTCTATCGCATGAATTAGCACGTGGCAGATCTTTGAATTTGTGTTCATTCTTTTTAGCCGCATTTTATAGAAGCATGACTTCCCTCTAACTCTAATTAAAGAATGGTACGTCTCCCACTGGTAGCCGGCCCCTTTGGCTTGCTCAATTGTGGATGAGAGCCTATTTTCCACAACTTGGTGCTCCACCGTCTCCTCCTTAAATAGTTAGCTGTTATGGGCTATTCATTCATCAATTGAGCCCTATAAATATGTCCAACAAAGACGTTTTCACATTCATTTATACTTTGAATTCAACGCCTTCTTTCTTTCCTTTTTCTCCTCATCAAATCTCTCTATACGTACGGCTTCCTTTTACTTTAGCCGAAATGAGCACTTCTTTACCCATTTGGGTTCAATTTTTGGATGGGAGAGAACTGTTCCATGACATTGTCACATGAACAAATGCTAAAGCAGGGGTTGAGATATATGCTCCTTAATTTTTTGCACGCCACTTGATTTTGGCCAAACATGCCTGTTCCTCTTTATTATTCTAAGAATTTGACAGAGCGTTTCCATACTATCAATAAAACCGAGGTGCAAGCCATTGACACCCGTAATAAACTTTTGGCCGAAGGTTTCTCTTTATCCCTTTCAATTCTACCGCCGTCACACATCCTCTTTTTGAACAGCTCTGGCCATCAGTAAAACGCAGATTGTTTGCAACTGATGCTAATCGTGCCTTCCATTTACTGGATCGGCCAAACACTTCTTCTACTTTTCCTATTTTGGCCACCCCTGTGTCCATTAGGAATCCTTCCTCACCTACTCGCGATAAACGTTCTATTCTTCTATCTGCTTCTCCTCCTGCCAAGACCACTATAGCCAAAGGCACCTCCAGCCACAAACGGCCAGCTTCAGCATCTCCCATTTTGCAGGATGATGATGATGATCCTCTTATCCTTAGGAGAAAGTTAACTGAATTTTTTTATTCACAAACATATTTTTATACTAATGGTTTATCTGAATTTCTCAGAAAAGTTCAGCCTTTCCTTCGAAGGCTCTGGATTTGGCAGCTCCTGCTTCATCACCTCTGTTGAAGTTGCTTCGTCCAAATCAGCTGATGATGGGACTACGCTTAAAGAGAAACCCTTAGTCCCAAAATCTTCATCGCAACCAGTAGAAATACCACCTTCTTCCCAGGGCATCGACCCCCCAAATGTCGAACTGGAAGGTAATACATATTTTGATGTTTTTACCTTTGCTTGTGCTTCTGGTTTTTGATTCGACACTTCTTGAATTGTGTAGAGACTCCCATGGACCTGCCTTTGTGGTAGAATCTTCTTTCCTAGATAAGGGAAAGTCTCCACAGGTGGTAGAGCCAACTGGTGACATGCCTGAATCTCCCAGGATTGCTGATGAGGTAACCTTTTACTTCACTTTCATTTTTACTTTGTTCATCATAGTGAAGGTCCTCATTATTGGCATATTTCTTTGCAGGGTACTGATGACATTGTGCGTTCCATCCAAAACTTGTTCACTTCTTGGGGACAAGTAAAGACACCTCGCCCTACTTCAACCAGTCATTCTTCTGCTTCATCTTCCACTTTTTCAGAAGAAAATATGAAATCTCTCAAGCAGTCGGTATTTGAGTATATGTCTTTCATGTACATGGAAATCGGCCAGGCCAGTGCTACTAAACAGAATGATAAATGTGAGCTATTGAGTGCGAAATTGGCACAAGCACTTACACTTTCGATGTTTCTGCTGACTTTAAAGCAACGTTGAAAGTTGTCCACTCTGACATCCTCTCCTTGCTAGCTAAAAATGTTGATCTAAAGGCCAGGAGTACTTAATATCTTCGTGCTTCATCTGAAAGAGAGTCTTTGCTTTTAGAGATTAACAAAGATGAGGACGAATTGAATGAAATCTCTTCTGAAGTTATGATTGAAGACTCTTTGATGATAAGCTCGGCTGCAGAGATGAAGGAGTTTCGAGCAAAGATGAACTACTGTAGGGCGATGATGGCTACTAAAAAATGCAATGCTTCTCAAGGGATTGAATGAGCCAAGTCTTTGGTTGAGCAGTACAAAAAACTAGAGGTTGATGACGATTTTGTAACTGAATTGAACGTCGCCTCTTCTCAACAGAGCGAAGATTGGGGAAGACTTAGGGGAGAATACGTTCGACTTGGGGTGAATTGTAATTAAGACATCCAATGCCTTAACTTTCCTTTTGTAACTTCGTGCTAATTGCCATTGCTAATTTTTGGTGTAACAGTTATTATCGTCATTAATGAACTACCGTTTTATCTACTTGCGTATTTATTGACGTTGTCCTTAATCGTCAACCCCCCAAGCATTTAATTGCTTTATGCTAAGATTCATGTACATTTTTTCTTGGTATTCCCTTATTTTTTCCCAAGATCTTAGGCCATCTTATTTCAGTTACTATACACGAATGTGGCCATTCATATTCTGTCTTTTCATCTTCATGACTCTATAAATGTGCGTGTATTTCGCACTTATCGTTTTCATTTCCATTTTTTTCCTCAAAAACTAACTTGCTGCCATCGTTTAGCATTTCAACAATTGATCCAAAATTATCATCTTCACTAGAAATGGATCATTTGATTCACTCATTTTGCTATTTGTCTTGATATTACATTTGGTATGGGAGATATAGGAAATATTTTTTGGCCTGCAAAGTTCTTCCCATCGTCTCCATGTTCTCCATAAGGAGTTCAATGATGGAAGACGATTTTTGAGGATGCCTTTCAGGCCACTTCGCCTGCTGAGAGTGCTTCTCAGTCCCTTGCCTGTTATTTCAGCAATGCAATTAGGCAGACGATTTGAGTGTACTTTTCTTCCTTATTGCTTGTTGAGAGTGCTTCTCAGCCTCTCTGCTTGCCCTTGCAGCAGTGCGATCAGGACGGCGATCAAGGCCAGTTCACCCTCTTACTTGGCGATCGACCGAGGAATTAGTCTGCTTTCAATTGTAGCTTATAGAGTATTTAGTATTTTTTTTTATCTCACACTGTGTAATGAATATTTGATAATGAAGGAAATTATTTGAACGTACTTCATTCTTGTCTTATTTATTTACAATCGCTCTTATTAATTATGTTTTTATTTGTTCACTTTCCCATAAGGAAGGAACATACTTTTTAAGTATTTTCCATTAATGAATCTCATGTGCTTGGTGCCATCTAAATTTTCTAAATGATAGGCTTCGTTAGGAAACATACTGTTTATTTTATATGGCCCTTTCCAATTGGGCGACCATTTGTCATACTTCGAATCCTTGCTATCCAAAGGGAGTATTATTTTCCAAACCAACTCCCTCAGACTAAAGGACTTGGCTATAACTTTTTTATTGTAAAACTTAGTCATTCTTTGTTTTTGGACTCGCAATCTGTCTAGGATGTCCAATTTTAATTCGTCCAACTCCAATAAGTTTTGAACTAGTGACTCAACATATTCACCATCATTTAACTTATGTTGCAAACATACTCTAATTGATTGCACGTTGATTTCCAAAGGCCTACCATTTGGTGTAAAATAGAGCGAGAGAACATATACTTAATTAAATTCACTTTAGAGATCAAATAAATGATTACGGACCGTAAATAAGCTCTTAATTTTGTACATGTGAAATACAATGCAAGACATAATTTTTCAATTACAGAGTAATTACATTCACATTTTGTTAACCGTCTACTCAAGTAGTAAATCGCCATTTTTTCACCAAATTGGTCTTCTTGCGACCATTCCACCTATTGATTCTCGTTCAGCCGATATATACACTTTCATTGGCCGTCCTTGGATTGGTAAACCAACACTGGTGGACTTGATAAATATGTCTTTAGGCTTTCAAAAGCCTTTTAATGCTCTTCTTTCCAGACGAATTCGTCCTGATTTTTCAACTTTAAAAGCGGCGAAAAAGCTTTAGTTCGCCTGTACAGTTAGAAATAAAGTGTCTTAAAAAGTTTACTTGGCCTAAAAACCTTTGCAATTCCTTTTTATTGCTAGGTGGTTTGGCCTCTAAAATTGCATTCACTTTATTTTTGTCAAGTTCAATTCCCCTTTTGTGCACTAGGAAACCAAGGAAGTTTCCCGCATTAACATCAAATACACATTTCAAGGGATTCAATTTTAGTTTATATTGCCTCATTCGCTCAAATGAACATCTCAATTATTCAAAATGGTCTTCTTCTTTAATGGATTTGACCACTATATCATCTACATACATCTCAACAAACTTGCATATCATATATGAAAAATCAAGTTCATTGCCCTTTGATAAGTCGCTTATGCATTTTTCAAGTCGAAATGCATAACTACCCATTCAAAACATCCTAGAGATCCAAGGCATCTAAAGGCTGTTTTGTATATATCTTCCTCAGCTATATAAATTTGATTGTATCCTGAATACCCTTCCATGAAGAAATTTATTACGTGTCCGACAGTCGAATCCACTAAAGAATCTACCGTAGGCATTGGATATTCATCTTTGGGTGTGGCTATATTTAGGCTCCTAAAGTCTATGCACACCCTTAATTTACCATTCTTCTTTAGTACGGCACGATATTGGACAGCCACTCAACATATCTAGATGTTCTAATAAAGCTTGCTTTTAATAATCGCTCTATCTCTTTCTTTATTTCGGGAAGTACATTAGGAGCAAAACGCCTAGGTGTTTGTTTATGAGGTTTAAAATTTGGTTTGGTTGGCAATCTATGTTCCACCAAATTTCTATCTAGTCCAGGCATATGTTCATATTCCCAAGCAAAACAATCCTTATATTCCTTTAATAAAGAGATTAATTTATCACTAATCTCTTGGTTGAGCATCTGGTTGACAAATGTTGGGCGATCTTCTCTTTCATTGCTAATATTCACTTTAACCAGAGGGTCTTGTGTTTGAGCGTATCCAGGCTTGGTGATCCTCATTACTTCATCGTCCATGTCCCTTATAGGCACTTATTCTTCTAAACAATCCACTTTGTCTCCCAATGCTTTCAAGGCTACTTCTTCTTTCGTCTTGTCTTTGCATTCTTTATTGAAAACCATTAACTTGGTTTTGAAGGCCTGAACATCGGACATTTACCTTTGTTGCTTCCAACTCATTTAAAATTATTTGATTACTTTTTTGCCAATTACTGGCTCCTCCAGGGCCACTATGTTTGGCCTCATTTGACTGAACATATCAGTGAGTGAATCTACTGAAAACAGCTCTTCGCTCTGTGCAACAATTTGAGTTTCTTCTCCATCTTGGACTATTTTGATAGGTCCATAATTTCCCTAGTACACGGAGTTTGCTTCTACGACAAAAGGTCTATGATCTGCCTGCACCACTTCTGCTTCACCCTTGTCATTCCAGAAAACCAGGCATTGATGGAGCAATGAAGGTATGCAGCGACTTCCGTGTATCCAATCCCTTCCTAATAACACATTGTAACTAGTAGGACCATCTATCACGAAGAAGAAGACTGTGGTCCTAGTAGTTGTCCCAACAGTTATATCTAATGGCATAACCCCTTTAGTTGAAGTTGCTCCTCCATTGAAACTTGTAAGGATGACTTCTGTTGGAATCATATCACTTTCCGTCTTTGCAAATGTCCTCATCATCCTAGATGGAAAGGTGTTTATAGCTACTCCATTATCAATGAGTACTTTCGCCACAGGTATACCGTTAACTAGAGCCTTAACGTACAATGGCCTCAAGTGTTTGGTTAACTTCATATTTAGTCTTTTGAAAATAACTTTTTCGGCAGCGTCTATTTCCACTTCTTGCTTGTCCTCTGTTGAATTATCCTTTTGTGATAAGTCAACGTACAGTATGTCGCACTGAGCTTTCGTTTCCTGGATTTCCTTTTTACTACTTTCCAGAACTTCCTTTCCAGTTACCCAACCCGTGGGAGGAGGCAATATTCTTGGAGGTAATCCATACTTTTCAGAGCGAGGTACTCTCCTTTTCCTCTTGAGTGTCCCGTTCAACACATAATAATCGAAAGAACGCCCAGATGGTTTCCCCAACAAGTCCACTTCACGAACTCCCGCTCGATTTAGTGCTTCAACAGAGTATTGCGCGATATTCATCTCTTTCTTCTTTCTGACTCCAGATCAATTTCCTCTTCGATGTCTGTCATACCATCACCCTCTTCATCATTGTAGGCCCCTCTGGAAGTTTGGCCTTATTCACATTCCAGCACACATGCTTCTTCTTCATTATCCCCCATTTCTTCTTCTTTCTCTTTGTTCTTGAACTCGTTGGCTAGTAAATAGTTATTAGCCATGACGGGAAGTAACGTACTGAACTGAATAGTAAGGGGCTGATCTGGATCTTCTTCATCCCTTCTATTTTGCTCAAACTTCGATCTCCCAGAAGAACTCTCTGACAATTCTCCCATCGATTCGCCTGTACCAGTCTCTTCACTGTCTTCAAGACCATTTTGATTGGCCACCTCGAGTAGCTTAGGCGTGCCTTAGGACGTGGCAATCCCTATTGTTGCCTCATCATTCGTCCATAATTCCATTGAAAATGCTTTTGTTGGGTTCTAGTCATCTCATTGAAGGGTGTCACCTTTCCTGCATTATACTGGAATGAATGCCATACATTTGGTTGGCGAGGTTGCGGCCTAAATGTCCTCACATTATTCGTTGGCCTAAACTACCTCTCAAAAGGTGGTCATCTATAGAATGACGTACCTCGCCCTCTAAAAGGCTACGCATTTGGAACAAAATCAGGGCGATGGTGACGTTACCCTGCTCCCGAGTTCCCTGTTTTCGCACTCACTTCTCCTTTACATCTTGCACACAGGACTTCTTCATCCTTTTTAGGTTCTTTCCCTTTGATATGTTCGAAGACACTGGGGAGTGACCCAGGGTCTTCTTCTCCGTCATCTATGACCAATTTGAATTTTGACAACTTGTTTTTAAAACCAGTTGTCACCATGTTTACTCCAAGTGGTTGTGGGAAATGGTTTTCATCCACTGCCATCTTCTTTTTATCCTCAAACGTAATTCGTCCTGATTCAATGGCATCCTGTAACACATAGCGAAAAACTAAACAATTGTTAGTCAAATATGACCATGCATTATGCCACTTACAATATTTTTTACCCTTAATTTGTTCAGGGCTTGACAACTTATGTTTATCGCTCAGCTTTATCGACTTATCCTTATATAATTTATCAAATATAAGGTCATCTTTGGTTACATCGAACGAGAACATTCTAGTCCTTTTGTTTTCATCTTTTATAGGCTCATCCTTACCCGATGATCTAGGCTTAGCCATTATAGGACAAGTATACGTATCTCGTTTGATTAATTCAGCCAAACATACTTCGGTTTGATCGTAATATTCGTCATTAATGGTATGAACATCAAAATTTGGGTCTCTATTATAAGTCCATTTGCTAGAATTCTTCATTTGCTCTTCTTCTCTTATTAATCGTTCATACCTAATCACGTTTGCGCTCAATTGGAAAAGATCTGGAAATTCTCTGTCTTGGAATTTCTTTTTCAAATCAAAGCTTAGACAACTTTGAGAGATTTTGACAAATTCCTTTTCAGGCAAAGGTACAAAACACTTACTTCTTGCTCTCTTGAACCTTTGAAGGAAACCTTATGCCCATTCATTTGCCATTTGACGTAGATTCGCCAAATTGACCAAAGTAACTTCAGATTCAGTCTTGTAAAACTGAGCATGGAACAATTTTCCAATTGTTGTCATGTTTGAATAGAGTTGCTGGTAAGTTAATGAACTAGGAGAAGGCTACTACTGTTAATGAACTAGGGAATAATCTCATTTTATGGTAGTCGGTTATTTCACCACTCTGCAGTGTGAATCGCCCTATGCGTTCTAGAGTGGACACTTATCCTAAACCAGTGGATAATGAAAATTCTGGCACTTGTACCCTCTAGGCCATGGATATACTTGATCTACCCAATCAGGATATGGCTTCGTGTAAGTAGGCCTAATGACAGGACGTACCCCAAGAGCCATTTGATCCCGTACTATCTCCATGATTTGATTCCTCAACATGACATTGGGATCATATGGAATTCCTATAGGTTGGTTTAATGTTTGATTCGCTTGAGGCCTAATATTTGGTCCTTGGTTGGCAACAAAATTGCCATTGGTTGTGTCGTTATTACCATTGAACTGAGTGTTCAAACCAGCATTAACGTGCTGGCGTTCTGTCCATCATTCAGGACATTATCTCTTATAATTGAATTACCTCCGAGGTTAGTAATCCCATTACCACCATTCAAGTTTAGCGTTCCATTACCCCCCTGATTTGAATCCTTGATTTAAGTTCAAACCAGAAGAATTATTTGGTGAATTATGCCCCACAATTGTCCTGTTTGAAAGTGGTTTGCAATAGGCATAACTAGCTGACACATTTAACCTACTAACTTGTTCATTATCTCATTTAATGTATTTAGTTGTTTGACCATGTTGTCATAATGTGCATTCCCACTTTGGGTAAACCTTTCCATATTATGAAAATTTCATAGATTTACCTATTCAACGACATCCTGTGTGAGTTCTCCAATCAATACACGCATGGTTCGAGGACTCAATTCTGACATTGGTTAGTAACGACTGTGGCTGCTTTGACTCTATCCCTCTATTCGTGGAGAGTTTTGCTGCTCCTCATAGCGCTCGATTACAGACTGGACTACTCTTTGACTTGCTGGTTCCTTATCAGAATGTTTATGAGGCATAATCTTCACTTTTTGTATCTTCAACACTAAACACCAATGTCCCACCGGGCGTGCCAAATTGTTTCATGCGGGTAATCGCTAACAATTAAAAAGAATTCAGACGATTGTGTAAGGGACAAACCTCTTGAAACAAAGTCCCAAAAAGGGGTGCTTTATTGATGAGAGTTACAATTGAAAATAAATAGAATACCTCCAAGGGGTGTAAGCACACGAGTACTGAAAAAGGGAAAATTAAAGTTAATTTAAGAAATTGAAATTACATATTTTCTGTTTGAGAGTGTTTGATTCGGGATCTTTTCTCTATGTCTTCTCTTCCTTTTTATATTCCCATGATGATTTCTTCGTAACAAACCGCTTGAAAACTGCTTGATTGTTTTATAACTACCCACTTTCTTCATGGTGGCTAAATTGTCGTGGAACTGCCATCTCTAACTTCTGCCATTACTCTTTGTCGTTCAACCGCCTTCAAATGGGCTCTTTGCATCGTGGAATGTGATAAGTTTGTTCGATAACTGCTTTAACAACCACTATTCTAGATAACCATAATATCTCATGTATTAAGATTTTTGGCGACTCAAAGGTCTGTACCAAATCTTTCATTTAGTTGCAGACTTCGCCCAAACCTGTCATTTGTGCTACCCACGGTGCCAAACTTTTAAAAAAACTCGCATCCAGAGTCCAAATAGATGGAAACTATTAGTTTGACCGTTAGTTGACCAGAGAATTGACATTGACCATAATTTTGATTAATTTTAAAATGATAAAACGGTAACTTCACATTTTCTATAATAAAATAATTAAGAGAAAAAAAACCAAGTCACACATACCCGCCCCATCCAAACCTAAAATGGTCCAGGTCAACAAATGCGACTAGAAGTTGAAGTATTTCAAGCAATTGGATCAAAACCAAGATTGTATACATCTGGGCCAATTTTTACATGACTTAAAAAATAAAGAGAAGTAAATTTTATAGTACTCACAACGCACAAGGACACATTCAAATTATCTTCTTGAACATTTGAGTATACTAATTTCTGTTCATCGAAAATCTACTAAAATTATTTTTATGCATTGTCATTTACTACTACAGGTATTACTGCAATATTATGACAAAATTGAATTTGCAATATTATGACAAAATTGAATTTGATGATATATATTTTCAAATTACAGTATCTTCAAACATGATGAACAAATAGAATAAACTTCCTTCAACAAAATTTAACTAATTAATCTTTGATAAAATAAATGCCGTTAGACTTCTTTAATCCAAGCCCTCCAGTCATGATCGATAGGAACTGATTGACGATATGATCTATTGCCAGAGACTTCACTTTCATCCCTTTCGGTTTTCGTCTTCCCTTTCTTTTCTTCTCTTTGACGAATTCTACATATAACAACGTCATATTCCTGTCACACATTGAAAGAAAAAAGAGTTATCCCTTTAGAATCTATAGTTTTTTATAGAAAAGGTCGTGATTTCATTTAATTATACCTTCTCGTTTTCATTTGAAGGAACAAGCCTCTCGTCTAAGACATATTCATGCATAATCCAGTTAGTTTTAACTCCAAATCCTTTCTGGTTCACGGCCTTCTGAAAATAAACAAGAGTATTTTTCCTTCCAAGAAGGGATCCATCAATATCATCAAATATTTCGTGTATAGAGCTCGTCATTTTCCAGTGTCCTTTGCAATCCTTGGTACACTTTCCTTCCGCTCTACTAAGGTGAAGAAATAAGCATACTCCGAACCCTTATCTATGGCTGTGCAAAGAGAGGGAAAAAAACAAATTATTCAGAAATTCGAACCAAGAACACAACAAGAATGAACAAGTTAATTACAAAAATAAACAAGAAACGGCAATACTATAAGAAAATTTTAAATAGAAAAACAAGAATTCGAGGGAAACCAAAAACAAATTATTTAGAAATCCAAACCAAGAACACGAAATTAATTTTGGTTCTTTCTTTTCTTTAATCATTCTTCCAAAATATAATGTTCTTCCTATATTTCTTTTCAATCAAGAATTCCCTAAATGGGAAGAAATATCGTCAAGAACTAAACATGCATTCAGTATACAAGAAAGCTATAGATGCATGCATATACCTGAGGGAAGTTTCGAGGGATGACGCGAGTAGACATCAAAATCTTCGTAGACAATGCTCGGAAATATGTATGAACCTTCCACTTTAGCCACCAAATAATGTGTTGGAAAAACTGAGTTGGTAGGCTAGTTTTAGCACTAATTTTGAGCGGGAAAGAAAGGTAAAGAAGATATTGTTGGAAAAAACTAGAAATAAACTGAGTTATGGGCTGACTTTGACACTAATTTTGAGCCGAACCCGCTTTGCTATTTTGGAAGATGAAAGTTGATTTGTGTTCTCCTCCGTGAGTACATTGAAATCACATGCTTACTTGTCAAAAATGATGCTCGGGTGAATGAGAAATTGAAACTCAAAGTGTGCCATGTGAAAGGAGTTTGTTGGTGGGAAAACTAAAAAAAAGTTAAAGTTTGTCCCATATAGGAAATGGATGAAAACTAAAACCACTTTATAAAGGATTACACTTTAGAGTGGTGTAATCATGTGTAGCATAGAGGCTCTCTCCACGTGCGCGCGCAGGGGGTGCAAATCTTGGACCGAAATTGGCTTCGGACCTTGAACTTGTGTGCGAGCGCGACCTGCGTACACGAATGTCGGACCGAAAGGAGCAAAATTAGCCCCTTAGGAGTGTTCACGTTTTGCTACATTTTTTAATTTTTTTTTCAATAGACTTTTGGTTTTTCAAAAC